CTTATCAGTATATCCAGTCTCTAGAAGAAAAACTAATTAACAAGTATCAGATAGTCTTTACGCTCGTAGAGCTTCTAGTTCTGACTCAGAAGGCAAACAACAAATATGAGAATCGTAGTACAAGGTGCTGTATAGTAAGTGCCGTAAGAAGGCGCTTACTCTAATCGATTAGTTGACGTCTAAATAAGACAGGACTCAACAATAGATGAAAGGGGAACAGAGATTCTACTTTTTAAGTGTAATTTGTACTAAACCTCATACAACAACCTTATACTATGACTGAACTGTTTCTTATAGTATCATACTAAAAGAATTATGGATGGTACATAAATTTGTCACCAAGAAATGCCTGCGATTATCAATCACATCATTCTCTACCGATATCTGTTTGGCAAAGCAGTCACAAGGAAATTGACCGCTCAGTTGGAGTGGAATAATTGGGCGGATCGTACACCTCAGCTCGGTCCAAAGCGTTGTGCTTGGTGGACACAAATTGGGACGGGTGGCTTGCAATCGCGCACCTGATCCTAGTAAGCAGGATCGATATCACTTGGGCATAGCCAGATGAAGGTGGGATCTGTTGGATTGCGTGAATCATCGTCAGACAGGGCAAGGGAAGATTCGTGACACCTCACCTAGGAATCACGATCCTGACTTGAGATCACGATCCGGACCTAGGATCGCGTTCCAGACCCAAGATTGCGATCCGGACCTAAGATCGCGATCCAGAATCCGGATCACGACCCGAATCAAGATCACGATCCGGAATCAAGATCTCGATCCGTGCCCAACATCGCGATCCGGACCCAAGATCACGATCGGGACCTGGGATAAAGATCCGAGGTAAAGTGGTGGTTTTATCTCGGGTGGACCACAAGAAAATTCGACTGCTGAAACAGCTGATGTGGGCTACACCAATACGAGAGGATGTTCTTCATTAAACAGGAACGCGTGGCATCCGGAAAGGAAATAAGGATAAGGCAGAGGGGTAGGTAATAGGTTGATTGGTTGGCTTTAGAGAGAATTAAAGTTACCTAAAAAAACGCACGCAACCGCTTCCGGGCAGGATATTTGGCCTCCAGACGAATAAAGAGTCGCGTTTCCGTCCATGTAATTTTTCGCACCTGGATTGCTTGGCCAGGTGCGTTCAAGAATTCCCAGGTAAGTACAACTGCGATCGGACGCAGCAAGACACGTGAAGGCGAGGCACAAGATCACGAGACGGCTCGAGTGGTCAGAATGCTAGCGTATGGAGAACCCACACGGTGGGAAAGGCAATCTCGTTGGGATCGGGGTAACTCATATCAGTACTCCACCGATACCTCAATGATCGCACGAAGATTTTCGCCCGATCACACATACCCATCTTCAACACGGTCAAGTTTTCCCTCGACACGAGTCCATTTGGAAGAGTGCAACCCGCCTTACCGACGGGTGAACAAGGTGAGGTAAGCGATGTACACGGAATCGGAGTACCTCCTCCGTTAGTTGGTCGTCTGGGCGCCAGTGGAGAGTTGGTATCGTCTAAAGAGATGAGCGATCACCACTCCACCACGTATGCAGTCGACATGGCTGAATATGCAGCCCCTTATTAGCCGATTATGCTGTGTTATAATATTGAGAGGACTTAAGAGAGTTTAAGTAATATTGAAGGTTATTCAGTTAAAAGTTAATAATTTTTATACAAGCACACTCTTCACCAAACATGTTTATAATTTCTTATCACGTTTTTTTAATCTTCATACAAATTACCAATTAATTTAATTTGACTGCATGTTACGCAGATGAAATATAACTCTTTCATTTGCCAAGAAATGATGAGGCTCATAACGATACTGTTACAATTTAGATTGGGAAGGTATGAAAAATCCACCCCTTCGCAATAACTATCTATCCTCTCACGTATGCGATGCCATGATTGTTCGCTAAATAATTTAACAAGCATTTGAATTGCTGATTGGCCAGATAAAAAAGGAAAATGGACAAATTATACTAACAGCAGGCACATAAGAATTTTCACTTACTTTTTCCAAATGTCTCTTTTCTCGCAACATCGTAATAATAAACGCCCTTGCACCTCCTTGATACTGGCGAATGTCGATATGTAAAAGGCTATTTCTTGTAATAACAATTTAAAATTGACTTCCCAGGTAATGCAAGATTGAGATATGCCACCCAAGTAATGCGTATTGCAATGATACCTGACTGGTGCCAGGACTATTCCGTGTTGGTTTTATGCGCGACAAATAGCATTATGGTCACATGTCAACGTCGCGGATGTCAAGCGCGCATGCGCATTATAAAAATGGATTGGGACGTTAACACTAACGTGAATATTTGATCGATACCCTAATGCTTGTACTGTAATTAAATGAATGAAACTTCTACATTAGGAGACAGCGAATGCTTAACCTAGAGTCAAATATGGTTTTTCTAGCGAGTCATCGTGATAGAATTTCTAGCTTCTATAGCGTAGTCGACTAATTATACTCTCCGAGTGTAAATTTGAAGTACACAACGAGCTCATCTTTTCTTAGACGCACTTCTGGACAGAGATTATCTAGTTACGTGCTAAGTTTCATAAAAAATGGTCTGGATCCTAACGGGGTCACCATGGTCTTATGGAAATTATCAATGCGGTACCTGGATGAGAATGGAGAAGGACCAAGCGATTTAGTTCACCGTAAAATAATAGTTTAAAGACTGTTGGTTGCATTTCTTTTTATTAATCAATCAGAGCGTCGTAATTTTGAGGTGCGCTTGTTTCATTGCAAGGAGGGGAATGCTTGACGCCTCCCTTGAAACGTATTTATTTATTTGAACATATCACAAAGGTTTTTGATCAATACTGCCCTCAATTATGTTTCCTTTGTAAGAATTCATGCTACTGCCCCGTCAGCTGGAAATTCCATTCACACGGTCGCATCTTAAAAGCCTTCTAGAATGCTCGATATTGCGCCCTTTCAATTTCAAACTAAAATCTTAACCATCTAAAATACACATGAATTTGTCTGATTACCGTCGCACACATGCACCTGGTAATAATCGTTTGCAAAATAGTTAAGAGAGATCTTGGTCGCTCGTCTACCCGGCGCTACCTGCTGCAAAAGTTGCTTGAGCTAAATGCAACGATGTAAATGGCGTGACGGACGCAGAAATTTTGCCTGTGCAGACCTTTTTCAGATTTTAATTGTGGGTGCTGATAACCTACCACGAAGTGTTCAGTCTAAATTATGGATGCATTTCCTGCAAGTGGTGCTTAGGGGGACCAAGCGGATTTTAAAAGAAATGGTTGAGTAACTATACAAGTAATGAAAAGTGGTGAGATAATGTTAATATAGAAGTGTGTCATCATAGTAGCATTGTAGATCAGTACGTACTGCTATGAGAAGACTACACGGACCTGACCTCAACAGTTGCACTGTTTACATCCTCACCACCTCCCCATATAATATTACGTAAGCGCAAATTCGATATTTCCGTAAAGATCTTTCATTCTGCATTTTACAACATTAATTTAGAGGCTATCTAACTTTTTCCTGTTGGACGCGCTCCCTTTTAGCACATTGCGAACTTAGATAGAAAGAGGGTACAAATCTAAGTTATAGGTTAAAAGTATATCACCTTATACATTATGCGTAAAGAGTAGATACGTTTAACAGGGTGTGTAATCGGTTTGGAAACAGAAGTGTAAACATCAAATATAGCAAAAACGATCTAAATGTCAGGTTAGGCAACAGAAGAATATCAAGTGTGAAAAAAAGATATGAATATTAGGGTTGAATGTAGGGCCACAAAAATCATTTTGGCAACGGGTGTAAATTGAAGGAAAGGGTGAGTAAGGTTACGCAAAGAGGGTATAAATTTATGTTAATAAGCTTTATATTCTTAGAAAAAGGGCGCAGACACGCCAATCCTTTTTTTATTGCTTGCACCTGATCGAATTTATACCACAAATTCCTTTTTTTAAATATCCCTGCAAGCCACACCCATCGCAAAGCCAGAAAGTGAATATCGCGTTTTAGCAGCTTTAAGGCCACACAATAAAAACCATAAAGAACGAAGGTAGGTGGAAAGTTTCGTTTAGAGTAACACATGATGACAACACACCGTGGCACAATGCTATCGGATCTTTTTTTGCAGCCATAGCGATAATCACCAAATGACAGGTCTAATCGTTGAGGGCATCGACAAAGTATGTTAAGACACTTTTCGTTATCTGGTAGAACGCTAAAAGCAGTGTAAAAGGGTAAAGGAAGACAAAAGACAAGGTAAATAAGGTAGCGGGTTGATTAATGTTGAAGACGATCTCATTACCCGATTCCCCGGTAATTAAAAATTTCAAAAGTTAAAGCTGATATTAAAGGTTTTTGCTTGGATTTTTACGAGTTTGAGCTGTTCTGTATCCACAGAGTACAAAACTGTAACATGCACCCTCAAGCTTGTACTGATGACAGTACAAGCTACTTCTTTTGATTTCAGAATAAGGCGGGGCCGCTTGACCTCACTTACACTGGTACGTGTAGAGGAAGACGGTAAGGAGAAGCGAGTACTTGGTTAAAGTAAAAAGCAACCCCGTGTTTATAGTATTCAATGTCTGTTTATTAAACCACTGTTTATCCTCATCTAATTATGTTTAAATACAAATGTGTAAATCAGTTATCTGCTCACCACTCATTGCGTGCGTCTGTCGTGGCGCGTCTTCGTTGGTTGATATAATGGCCTATATCAACCAATTAGGAACTACTCGTAAGTGCTACAGAATATTTGTCCTTATGACAATATTCTGAGAATATAACTCTTATAGTTATATTCTATTAACAATTTCTTATAAATTGTTATGTAACGATTCACCCCGTTACATCACCCCCCCCTTAACCATCAGTCACTTTAGTGACTGATTGACTAAATGGATACTCGTCCCAAATCATTTGGGACGGGGTTTGCACTTGTCGGTCCGAGTCCACTTTCCAACATTTCATCGCATGGTTAACAAGCCCATGCGATGCGCGAGCAAGGACGCCGAGAGCGCGTCCGCACGTCTCTGTGTGGAAACCGAAGCAGATACCGCAGCAACTGATGTCTCATCGTTTGCTAACGCTTCTCAGCCTGTATCACCTGGTGATCCAGATGCTCGTCATGAAGACACTCATGTCTTCACAGAGTATGAGCTTGGTGTCTCGTACTCTCCTGATACGGATGACGGATCCGTATCGAAGGAGATTGAATCTAAGCCGCCTGCCAAGCGTGGCATGGACGATGCTTTGCGTCGCAGCATCTTTGGTTCATCTGATGAATCAGATGAACCATCGCCGAAGCGAAGGCGCTCGAGGTCGCGAGACTCGGGCGCTAATAGTGGTGTCGGTTCTCCTATGGACACCACTTCACAGCGAGGTGCCAGTACTTCTGTCGGCACGTCGCAAGAAGAGCGGGACCGCAACGTGTTGCGTCTCGCTCCCGAAAAGAAGACATGGATGCCTCCAAAATCCGTCATGGATCACTTGTCGGCGACGACGAGTGATCGTTATCGAACACGGTTGTTCGATTCGTCAAGGATCCATCACCTTGACCCCAGTGCGAAGAACTATCGCGCTGAAAATGAGCTCTTCATCGATGCTTTCTTCAAACATCGATGGTACAGTGGGAATCACAAACGTGATGGCCCCCACTGCTTCAAGCGTGGAACGCTTACATCTATAACTTTGAGGATGTAGGTCGTGACGTTTGGAACGACAAACTTATCAAAGCTCGTGATAGGCTTGAAAAGCGAACCCCGACAAGTGAACGCTATAAGCTACATCTTCTGTCTAAGGAGGGTGGGTTACCCTGTCTTTCCTGGGGAGACTTGAGCCCTTGTTGTGTAAACAACTTTGCGCGAGCACCTAAGGAGGCTTACCTCCTTACCAGCCCGTGGTGGCGCGTACGTATCTCTAGTGAGATGTACGAAGGGATTGACAACCTGAAATCCCTTTACGACCGTTCCGGGAAGACTTTCTCCGGCGATCCTTCTGCGGCACAGGATGTTCCGCGTCGTAATGCTCAACCAGACCCAGTACGTCAACCATCAGTTGGGATCGAGGCTCCCAAGCATCCCAGGACGGGGCATAACCGCATCACCGGACGAGATAACTCGTCCGACGTCCGTTCACATCGCGGTGGTTCAGAAGCTGCTCAACCAGATATCGCTAACCACCGAGAGAGTCCTCTAATGGAGGTGGAGGAGGAGGAAAAACGCTGTCTAAACTATCGTGGGGGAGCGTGTGTCCCCGAGAGCCTCTTTGATCGCGTAACGCAAGGGTTACGCGGCGATCTCGAACAAGAGCGGGACACGCGTCTCCAAATGGCGGACACTGTCTTGAAGCATCAAGCTGAGTTTGCCTTTGCTCAGCTTGAGAACGAGAGAGCTTTGACATCTCTGCGTGACAAGCTAAGGGTAGACCGTGTGGATATCAACCGGTCTGGGGCTGAGACAAATGTTTTTCAGACCCTTGTTGATGTCCACCATCGGGAGCACAAGACTCTCTGTGAGATGCTTGAGCGCAAGGGTGTTCTTCATCGGAAGAAACAGCGTACTGATGGTACGGCTTAAGCCGACCAACGTAAAACGTGGGATGCGCTCGCAGCTTACGTGGCAACTCGATCGTGTATGCGTTGCCTAGGCGGTGAAATACACGAAATGGGCCGATGTACTTGGGTAGTAGTTTACTGCTACCCAAGTTAGTCACTACATGCTTTGGTAGATTAACCGTAGACAGTAGGACTAAGTCACCCTTATTGAGTAAAAGAGTGTTTGCCCTTCCATTCTTGTCTGCGTTTTGCTTTTGCTTATCCACCGCTTCGGCGATGGAGTCTTGCACAAAACGGACTACCGTTTCACGAGCCAGTATGAACTCATCTGCTGGCTCGTTAGCTTCAGTGCGCTGTGAGCGCACTGCAGCAACACCAACCTTTTCTTCAGTGAGGGCTTCCGCACTCTCACTGGCATCATCTTCTTCGATATCGATGTTATCGATATCGGCATCAAACGCAATGACCTCTTCGTCAGAGCGTGATGAGCGTGAACCAAATCGGTTTTTGCTCGCGCGAGTCCCCCCCCTTAAACCAGAGTTACACTCTAGTAAGGTGGGTACACGCGGATGGCGTAAGCCATTCACGTAAAACGGTGTATGTGTCGTGGAAGCATGCACCGAGTTGTTAATGGCAAACTCTACCATTGGCAAGAACTCACTCTCCAACTCTTAAAGGAGTGTACGTATCCTCGAAGTATCTCTTCGAGGACACGATTGGCACGTTCCGTCTGACCATCGGACTCTGGATGATCAGATGTAGACATCTTCAAGCGCGTTCCGAGTGATTTGAACTCGGAACGCCAGAAATCAGCAGTGAATCGTGGATCTCTGTCTGATACGAGTTCACGGGGCAACCCATAAAGTCGGAAGATTGTGTCAATAAAGAAACAAGCACAGCCACTTGCCGTGATTGACTCTGGGTTTAGCCACAAGGTGTACCATTTTGCTGAATCTGTCAACAAATACGAGAATACCCGTATTCCCGCGTGCGTCTTTGGGTGACCCGAAGACGAAATCCATTGAGATGGATTCCCAGCACTCAGCCAGAACCGGTAGAGGCTGTAAAGGTGAACGCAGTGAAGGACTTGACTTCACTCGTTGGCAGACTTCGCATGCGCGAATGTGCTTGCGCACGAACTGATACTGGCGGGGCCAGTAAAAGTCTCGACTCACCGTGCGATTTGTTTTCTCCCGGCCACGATGTCCTCCTATAGGAGCATCGTGATACTCGAACATGATCCACAAACGCAGATCAGTATCATCTGGAATGACAACACGTGGTGTGTCACCAGTAACGGCTGTATAATACAGTAACCCGTTGCGAGCAGCGTATCGATCTGATACAGATCGATACGTAGACGAAAATCGTTTCAACGATTCTCGAGATGGCTGTGAGAGATGTGTCAACAACTTCACAATCTCACCATCTTGGGCATATACTCCATTCAACGTTGTAGATGGGACTGAGGACGTCATAACCGCAACAGTGACTGCCTCACTGTTGGGTTTCACGACTGGTTCAAAGTCGGGACGACGTGAGAGTGCATCAGCGACGACATTAAGTCGTCCTGGTTTGTACTCGACCGTGAAGTTGTATTCTGCAAAGAATGACAACCACCGCGCCATTCGTTGTGAAAGGTGCGGGCTGTTCACTGCCGTGCGTAATGACGCATGGTCGGTGTAAACAATGAAGGGTCTATCTCCTAATAGATAGACTCTGAACTTCGCGAGTGCATACTTCATGGCAAAGAGTTCCTTTTCATGCACTGGATAGTTCCGCTCAGCTGGTTGCAGCTGACGCGACTGATAGCAGACGACGCGTTCAACGCCTTCAAGATCGTACTGCATTAATGCACAGCCGATTGCGAATTCGCTGGCATCACAGACCACATGAAATGGCCTGTCCTGATCGGCTATTGCTAGGACTGGGGATTGTATCAAGCTCTTCTTGATACCATCAAAGGAGCGCTGACATTAAGCGTTCCATAAACACCTCTCGTTCTTTTTCAACAAACGAGAGAGGTGTACAGTCATCTCGGCGTAATTGCGTGAATACTTATGCAAATACGCCGCTAGCCCAAAGAATTTTTGAAGACCTTTGACGTCGACTGGCACAGGCCACTCAGTGATCGCCTTGATCTTTTCGGGATCAGGACGTACACCGTTCTTACCAACGATGCACCCAAGAAGTGGTATTTCGCTTGCTGCAAATATACACTTCTTGAGGTTAGCATACAATTGATGCTTTCGCATGATTGTAAGAACCTGTCGGACGTGGTACCTGTGAACCTTAACGTCCGACTTTCCATCCATCGCCCGACTATGGATGAATACGTCATCGAAATAACTCGGTGCAAGTTCTCGTACTGGTCTCAACAGGTGTGATACACATCTGCTGAACGTGGCAGGGGCATTACTGAGCCCTTGTGGCATTACTAGCCATTCCCAGAGCATGCCGCTAGGCGTGCTAACTGCGGTATAGGGTATATCCCGTTCTCGCATTAGGATTTGATAGAAGCCATCCATCAAATCCATGGACGAAAAGATGGTACTCTTTGACATACCATCAATGATTACGTCCTTCCTCGGTATCGGCGTCTGAGCCGGTACCGTTGCAGCGTTCAATTTGTTAAACGCGTGCACTATCCGCCACCCTCCTGTTGCTTTTCGCACACAGAAGGTCGGAGAGCTATGTGGGGAAGTTGATTCCCTCACATGGCCCGCAGCTAAACGATCGGCAAAGAACTTGTCGATCGCAAGTACTTGCTCACCAGGCAGTGGCCACTGCTTCATGACACAGTACTTCGAGCCTGGTAAAAGCTCGACCTCGTGTCGAATACCTTTATCCTTCGGTAACTCGCACGGAACAGTTTCAGGGAATACATCCTTGAATTCAACCAAATCTTTATAAAGAGGATTTGTCTTGAGCGATTCCCACGATTGGGAGTCATATCGCTCGACTCGTGTCTTTTCATCTAGAACACTCTCATCCATCGATGAACTACTGAGAACTCTCTCGTTCTCCGTAAACATGTTGCTGACCTTATGTCGGTTACACACTCGTCGTCAGCGACGAGTACGCAGATCTGCTTGACTTTGCCACTACGCAGATCACGCAAGAACCTTTTATGTTCGAGCGTTGGCAACTGAGTGATCTCCGAAGTCAACTTCGGAGGTGCAATCAGATCAAGTGTATAAGCGCCTACACTTGATCCGTTATTGACTATGACATTCAATGTCTCTGTCATTTCCTGGGGACTTATTCCCACAGGCCTCGAAGGACTTATTCCTTCGGCTTCCCGGGGACTTATTCCCTCGGGTTTCGGGGAACTTGTTTCCGCCGTATTTGTAATATCGGGACTTATTCCCTTTACTTCCTCTAGCTGTGGTTGCGCAACCACAGCGAGATCCTCTACGAAAGACTCTCCAGTCGATCTAGGATTATCGTTTCGCTTAACCTGAGCGTTCGATTGTTTCTCTTCCAGATGTTCCCCGATAGGGATGCATCTTTGTCCCGATCCACTCGACTTATTCAAGTGGTGGGCCTTCGGCGCAGCCTGTGTTTCCTCACAGCCGCCGGAACTTTGCTCCGAAGTGTAACCGTTTGTTACACTAAGGTTTTGTGCAGTCGTACTAACGACCGTACCACAAGTGAGGCCATCGCACTCACTCGTAGTACATCCACACGCTTGTGGACGCTCCAAAACGTTCATCTGATGGCCATCTGATGAACAAGCGGCAGGCATCGTTACTTTTCGATGTTGCCAGTTTACCCGTGGTTCGTACCTTCTGAGCCATGGTATTCCAAGGATGACATCAAATTTGTCATCCAAATCCAATACGATAAAGTCATCGTCATATTGGGTATCTTCTAGCGTATAGTGGATCTTCACTATAGGCTTCATGACGGTTACAGATGCGCCTGTCGCAAGACGTACCGTCATCCTCGTAGGAGGTGTGTCACATTCATCAAACTTAAAGTGACCATCTTCTAGCGATTGGCGTTGCACAAAATTGTTGGACGCCCCACAATCGACTAGAGCTCGAAGGGACAACTTATTCGTCACTTCGAGTTTCAAGGTAATGAGTGAGTCCTCATTACCTAGAGCGGCAACGCACAATGTTTGTGTGTTGGGAGCAACCTTCATCAAGAGGTCTACAAATTCTCTTGACGTTGCTGGACCAGTAGGGTGCTCCGCACCTACTGATCCTGTCCGTTTTTTGACGGTCCATCTCGTTGTTGCGTCTTTGCACCAACAGCGGACCCGCGTCCCTGCCCCTTTCTCATGGGTGGACGGTCACTACGCCCAGTGTTGCGAGACACTGGACGAGGGGCACTACACTCGTAAGCTTAGTGTCCCGTCTTCTGACATCTGTTGCATCTCTGCAACCTTTTGTAGCCTGTAGAGCGAGCCTTCTCGCTCTCTACATGACAGAGTTACATCGGCTCTGGACCTCCGCTGTCATATCGTCTTGGTTGACGATATGATGTCGAGCTGGCGCGAGCCTGTCTCAGACTGAAGTCTTACTGTTCCGCAATGGAAATGGCTTGTTCTAGTGAATCTAGTTCAAGCCGGAACAGGTGAGTCTTGACGGGACCATCCGCAAGACCCTGCATGAACACCGAAACCAACGTGTGTTCATCAACCGGGTTGGAACTTATACAACTCGTGAGATGTCGTATGTGTTGCGCGTAAGCGTGCACATCACGCTTATCCTGCTTGAGCTTCAAGAGTTCGGTTCGAGCTCTGAACTCAGCTCTAGGCGGTTCAAACGTTTGTCTGAGCCGCGACTTGAAGCCTTCTAACGACCCAAACGCATATGGGTCGTGCAACTTGAGCCCCAGTGCCCACGATTTGGCACGTCCTGCCAGATTTGAATGGGCAAATGCAACTTGCATATCCCCGTCGTCGATGCGACGCGCCCTTATGGCGTCATCCAATTCGACGAACCATCTCAAGAGGGAGTCCTCTTCGACTCCCCTATACTTGGAGATGTCAATCTTCAAGGTCTCGGGTCGACGCGAGTGCATCGACCCACCAGCAGCAGCCTGCTGCTGTCTCAACAGTTCAAACTGTTGAGCACCCTGTTCTCTCAACAACTCTGCTTGTTGAGAACCTTGTTGGTGAAGCAAGGCTAATTTTTACGGTCTGCGTCAAGTTCATTTTGAATGAACTTGGCGATAGTAGCATGTTGGGCATCTCTATTGAGAGCCTCTAGCATGACGCTTACAGCGTGGATGCCCATGGTAGAACCCATCCGTTCAACCTCATCCCATTCGATATTGCTCAAATGAGAGTAGCCGTCACGCGTAGCGTGAAAGCTTTGGTCATCTTCATCATCCAACATATTCATGTTAGATGTGAACGTGGTCCTTGGACGGACTACGAAGTGCTACCAGGTGGAACGGGGCACCCTGAAGCTTGTACTCATGACAGTACAAGCTACTTATTCTGATAACAGAATAAGGCGGTGCCGCGTAATCTCACTTATACTTGACGTGCAGAGGTAGCCAATCTACTTAACAGCTGAGTTGAGTAAGAGGTAAAGAAAAGAGAAAAGTATTTATAAAAGTTAAACTATTAATAAAACTATAATCTTTATCTAACTATGTTAAGCTACGCCGTCGTATGACGACAACCTGCTCACTACTCGTTGCGCGCGTCTAGTAGCGTTTGGTGGAATCCTATGGTTAATTTGTCTTGTATCAACCAATCTTGGAGCAGCGTATGGATATTATCATTACAGGGGATAATGTTCCTTCAATATTATCGTTTTCGGATAGTATCGGTAGAATATGGTCATGCTAGACAATATCTTTATCGACGCCGTTCGGTATCAATTTCATGTAGCGGGCTACCCCGTTACAGCAGTCGACTTTAAAACCGCGTGGTATTGTGTTACCATTGTCCGACAACATTACAACGCTGGGCGTGTCTTTGATCTTGGAGCTACGAGCGATGGATGTGCATTTGCCAATCGAAATACCGCATTGTGGAGATCTGGAAGACTCGACGATTCACACAGTTCTGGAACAAGAAGAAGTGGGTGTGCTGCACTTCTATGATGTTTGTGAACTCGCGTCAGAGACCGTCAGTGTGCAGGATGCGTCCGTGAAGGTGTTTTGTGAGAGTCTGAGCAACTGCTATGAGTCGTTCCGAAGCTTTGACATCAAGATACTGGCTGTGATTTTATCGCGGTTTGAAGAGGTGATGCTGCTTGATGCCGAGTCCCATGTCGCTCTGAGATACGGACAAGTACCAGAGTACAGGCACGCTATTCTTTTACGATCGTTTTACAGCGGAAAAATACACTGGGGAAAACTTCTCCATCGTCGCAATAATAGTGTGAGACAAATACATGACTTCATGTCACGGTTCGATGTGTCGCTGTTCAAGCCATTAGGTCACATTGAACGACCAAAGGCAACAAGCGAGAACAAGGTGCCTGTAACGCTACATTTCTCACCCAGCGAGCAACTGTTGACAAGTCATTCGTGGAACTACCGAGCTGGACACGAGATGGACTCGTCGTTAGTACTATGGAACAAGAAGCGGCAGCCACGAGCAACAGCGATCCTGGGAGCGTTCGTAGCGCGCAATCGCGTTGGCCGACCGCCTTCTTACGGCGATAAGGAGCTGTTTTTGTGGCCACTGAGCTCGCTGAGACGCAGTACGCGTTTTCTGATTATGAAGCGGGAGGTGCGGGTTGGGACTTTCGCGACGCTGGCCCCGGCAAGTCGGTGCTCTGCGGCACCGCTACGCATTACTACCCCGTTAAAGCGGAGGCTGAAAGGCTCGCTGCAAATGCTAGCGTGCTGTACCTCAACAGCGATGACTTCCTCGTGTATGACCCAAAAACGAAGCCCCTGTACTATACTCAGGCGCGACCTTGCGAGGTATACCCGGGTGACGTGTATTAGAACGGTTTGGATATTACGTGTCCGTTCGACGTGACGGGTGTGCGCTTTTCTCCTGAGCAGAAAGATCACATGCTGCTACGTCAGCACTTTTACGAGGTTGCTAAGGCATGGATGGAGTAGCTATTGTTCAGCCAGCACGATATTTTGCCGTCGAGGAGATTCTGGTTTTTTTTGTGTCGAGTCGACGGCACCGTCATTTTTGTAAATAGAGGGCCATAAATACGTGCACACGCGCAAGCGCAGTAGCGAGCAAGTGCTTATCATCGCTCGTCAGAAATAAGCTTGAGCCAGATGGCTCGCTCGTAAGTAGTGCAAATACACCTCTTAATGCTTTGGCTGTCATACTGAGGTGACGTCCTCTTCTACCGGACTCGACGATGAGGAGACTGGCGTTATTTTTGTCCTAATCTATTCCTTTCTCCAGTTGACTTTCATGTTCCAAAATCGATTGCATATCAACACTCGATCTTTTTGACTACATTCATTTCTCGGATAATTCACATATCCTCATAACTCATATAACTTGCGTTCCACCATATCGTTCTATAGTCGCTAACTCATAAATCTTAACTCATTACTATCGAAAATTTAAATGAATTCCAAGGGAAAAATTGTACGAGAAGCTACGTGTCCAACAGATATTATATATGTGTAAAAAAATACACAATTAAGGAGGAAAAAGTGCCATTGGGTACTAAATTGGTGCTAGCAAGAATTCAAAGTGCTTCTAGTGGTGGTCCTATGCGGATGAACGTCTTTAGTACCATTCGATTTGGCCGTGAAGACAATAACGATCCGGTCCAACTGAAATAGTGAAGTAAACTGTTATTGAACTGAGTAAAATCCAAATGCTAGAACACTTTTTCAGAAATTAAGAATTAGCTTTATACTTACATCTTGAGATCCTCAATCTCTTTTTACGCAGCAGTCATTTCCTGATTCAAGTTTAGAACAGGCCTTAATCATCTCATCATTTCACTATATTAGCCCAAACTGTAAAGGTCTTTCTCTAATATTAGAATTGTCGGTGTTGAAAAATCTTAGGGCTCATAGTGAGCAATTACAGCCCGAAGTCCAGGCAAAACTGCATCCATGGCTTCCTCATTTCCTGGAAAACTCTCGCCAAAAAATCCTATACGATCGGGCTGTTTCACTGATGCTGGCGAAGCGGCTTTTAAATGGAAAAACTGAGGATGCCCATAGGTAGGCTAAGGCGTATCATAAACGTCATCGGACTGACCTCGGTTTTTTTCCGGTTTAAAAACATTCCTTGTTTAGATCGAAGACTCAAGTTGACGGCTTTTATTTAGCTTAAAAATATGACCGAATGTCGGTAATTTGGGGAAAAGTTCGTTATTCTTATGATCAGTACGCTTCTCAAATAACAAAAGATATGACGTTTTGGGTGATATGCAATCCCGACTTGTTATTAGCCCAATTTACCAGCACGTTGTGGCCCATATATTATAGTCTAGGCCTTGATCTAGCAAAACTTGGGTTTCTGTGCATTGTGGACAGTACACAAGACATCATAATTTGAAAATGCTAAACGACTAGTTTCCCTTAAGATTCGGCCGGGTCTTTTTTTGGGTCTAGGGTTAGAAAAACGCCGTTTAAACGCATGCTGTAGGAAATCGCTAATTTTCCTGACACGTTCAAAAATTGATTTTTGGTGTTTGCTACACTAAGGAGTTTCTCTTGATTGGTTTTGTGTTTCGGCTTCGATAAACGATTTTTGAAAATTCTACTTCTGTGCTGTCATTCAGTCGCTTCTCAATATTTACAACCACGCATAAGAGGCATGACAAGGCAGTTGAAAAAGCGGCTATCGAAGAAGCCCCTGTAATTTTGATAGCTACGTTCAGCTTCGGCTACATAAATCGGCTTGGATGAAGTTAAGCAAGAAAGAGGCACGATACGTAAACTTGTATATTTACTCTTCTACGATCACTAAGATCCTCGTTCAATTAATATGTAAATTGACTGTTAATATATCCAAGATACCAATTATACTTTAAATTAAGTAAGAGCGTGCCAGTGTTATTATTTCTAAACGAAGCGTAACACCCCAGTATTATTGCTCGTGAATAAGCGGACGTATTTAGTTTGGTGGATCTATTAATTGTGTATCGAAGAGGGCATCATAAAGCGAGATAGACTTCGGACTGAAACGCCAACAGTAAATGAAACAGCAGAAATTGCGCGTTAGCTTATTTTGCAGCCTTTTTATTATTATAAGCTTAGAGTAAACATTCTAAGAAAAATGTTAGTAAATCGAGCAGATGACATCGACAAGGCTAGGCATTTATTTTTAATTACTATTAAGTTACTTTTAAGGATTTTAGTTTGACCAAGCCGAAAAAAAAGAATACAGCCGTTTAACATTTGCCTTATCTTTTACAATTGTTTAGAGTAATAATGTAATGACTCTTTCATTTTTTAGCAAAATCAAGAAATCTGAAAAATAGACATGTAAGCGGCTTGATTCTCTGCTAATTTATATACAATTTCCCACCAAGTCTATTAGTATTCCGAAGAATGACTGTATAGTCATTGTGTGCAGGAAAGCATTCTTTAAAATTTGCTCGCATGTATTCCGTGTTCTGTATTGAATTGTGTAAATTGTTCTCTGATCCACATAAAATAGACATTAACTCGCCATCCCGCATCCCTAGTGATGCGCTCCAAAATCCATATTATTAAATTATCGAACTCTAACGGGCTTTAATCGTCATAAATCCAGTACACAATTATGTAATTGTGTACTAGCTTCATCAGTAACGTTGTTATCGATTGCTGATTGCGAGCGCGAAGGGTAAAACTATTAGTGACTGCGCGCAATTTAAATTCCGAACCTTGTAAAATTTACTTATCTGTGTGTGTCTATCTTTCTTACTGTTTGTAAATAACGCAACTAGATGCAACTAAAACGCACTTAGTGCAATCTAGCCTGTCTTCCCTCATAAATTTAAAGGTTTTTATGAGATCAATCTTTGGTCAGGTCACTATTGTCACGCACTTTTCTACATAGCTAAAAATTAAGCGAAAGAGACTATAAGCAAAAACAATGATGGCCACTCCTTAGACAAGGCTGATCACGTTGCTTGAGCATACTGTTGTGGGTCAATCGACATTGACAGCATCACACGGTGTAATTCATCGACTGTTGTGTATAAATATATGCAACTTGATCCAGTTCTTCAAATTGGGTTACTTAAAAAAGAGCAGACTCTGGAGCTTACCCTCTATCTCAGAATAAATTTGAGCTTTGATTTATTTTGAGCTAATCAAGTGCGTGCGTCGCAATCGTGACCTATCCAAAGAGCGACTCCATCCATTTGAATAATGGATGGATTCGCTCTTTGGATAGTTCACGATTAATAATGATGAGGGAACAAACTATATCGCGCTTAGCACTTGTAAGGTACACCTAGCCGCAAAATGTACAGACAGACAGACCGACACAAAGACTGAAACATTAAAAAAAAAGATAGGTCGTACTCTAGACACCAGTATTGTAAATAGGTTACAAACTGTAGGGTACTCGGTACCCCGTGTCTTAGACACACACGATGATATCCCACTAACGACATATATATTATCGTTTCGGTTTACACGAGATGACGGGTGTCAGACACAAGGTAGAAAAGAACTCGACAGTATTCGTCTCAAGGACAGGAGTGACCTGATTAGGTAATATCAGTATTGAGATATTCCAAAAGTCAAACGCTGATAAAGTTCAGTTCCTCTTGCACAAATTCTATAATAGCTTCTTCCTTCTGGCTCTTAATAACAAATAGCCTTGAAAAGATAAACGATAAGGGAAAAGCGCCCTTTAGTATGTAAAGTTCATTCACTTGAACGTTATCAAATTGCGAAATGCTTTACAATATCAGTCACTAATGCTATGCAAGGGCAACGAAATTTAGCCTTTGCTTACGAGCGTACAGCATTTGATTATGTGATAATTTTCATCTTTGATCGTGCAAAAGCCAATCACGTGCGTGCGTTACAACAATCAAAGCCGAAAAGTGAATCGAATATACTAATACATCAATGGGGAAGGGACAGGCTAGATCACTCTTAGTACGTGTAAGGTACGCCTAGCCGCTCTCTATACAGACAGGAAGTCAGGCAAGTACAATATAGACGTTCGTTATTCACCTTGCGCACAATCACTGATAAATTCAATCCTTGGGATCGGGATACTAAAAAGAATAATTGGTACCAGCTTTTACAAAGTTATCAATATAAGACACCCCTTTAGCTGGTTTGTGTGGTGTTGAAACTGCGAATGACATCCTGGGGACTGTGGATTATCTTGGAAGCACTACGGTTAATTACTATAAAAAGATAGTACAAGATGTGTACAATACTTAAGATAAAAAAACTTCTCATACCTGTTCAATCTTTTATAAGATTGCCTACTACTCTTCTTTAGCCTCTTCCCTTCATTAATCTTTTTGAAATGCGTTCAAAATCTCTTGATTATTGATATCTAGCTGAGCTCTTCGTCTTTTTAATAAAGTTGATTGGATCATGAATGAAGATTAGTCAATGGTGACACTGTGTGCCTAACGAAGACCAACAAGCCCAGAAATCGATTAGGATAGATACATGTCTCTATATTTGAGGCACAACCTGAGTAATTTTACAAACAAAAGGTGAAGACCTGGTTTATTGGTCTCTGGAGATAATATTATGCTGGTTTTGGGTAGAATTATGTCGGGCGTGAAAGAGAAGTAAGTGGTTCTGGATGAGGTTTCCACTATTTTTCTTTGGTTATTGATATTCCCATAATATATAGTATTCATTGACCTCCTAAGCTTTTCTATAGTACTATAAGTAGTTTATTGGTATGATTCTCTGTGTTCGAAATCACCATAATCTGATAACTATAGCTTCTGTTAAGTAATCGGTATTGTGCCCACTGAGGCTAAAGTGACCAAAGAAAGACATCAATAAGAGGTCATGAAAGTTTAATATGGGATTGGCTGAGG